CAAGAAAAGAAGAGAGAAGATCCAAATAAGCTCAATTAGAAACGAAACAGGAGATAGTACAACCAATACCACAGAAATACAAAAGATCACTCAAGGCTACTATGAACAGCTTCACATGCACAAACTAGAAAACCTAGAGGAGATGGATAAATTCCTCAAAATATACAACCCTTCTAAATTAAACAAGGAAGAAATAGAAACCTTGAACAGGTAACAACAAGCAGCAAGACTGAAATAGTAATTTTAAAATTGCCAACAAAAAAATCCGGGACCAGATGGATTCACAGCTGAATTCTATCAGGCATTCAAGAAGAATTGAGACAAATCCTATTGAAACTATTCCAAAAGACAGAAAGAAAAACTCCTCTCTAAATAATTCTATAAAGCCAATATCATCCTAATATCAAAATCAGGAAAGGGCACTAACAAGAAAACTACAGACCAATATCTCTGATGAACACAGATGCAAAAATCCCCAACAAATTACTAGGTTGGTGCACAAGTAATTGCGGTTTCTATCACTAACTTAATCCAACAGCTTATCAAAAAGATAATCTACCATAATCAAGTGGATTTCATACCAGGGATTCAGGAATGGTTTAACATATGCAAGTCAATAAATGTGATATATCACATAAACAGAATCAAAGACACAAAACACATGGTCATCTCAATAGACACAGAAAAAGCATCTGACAAAATCCAGCATCCCTTTATGATTAAAATCCTCAGCAAAATTGGCATAAAATGGACATACCTTAAGGTAATAAAAGCCATCTATGACAAAACCACAGTCAACACTATACCAAATGAGGAAAAGTTGAATGTATTCTTCTTGGAAACTGGGACAAGACAAGAATGTCCACTTCACCACTTCTATTCAACATAGTTCTGGAAGTCCTAGGCCAAAGCAATCAGACAAGAGAAATAAAAGGCATTCAAATCAGTAAAGAGGAAGTCAAACTGTTGCTGTTTGCTAATGATATGATCACATACTTAGAAAACCATAAAGACTCACCCAAAAGGCTCCTAGATCTAATAAATAAATTCAGTAAAGTTTCAGGATACAAAATCAATTACACAAATCAGTAGCACTGCTATACACCAACAGCCACCAAGCTGAGAATCAAATCAAGAATTCAACCCCTTTTACAACAGCTGCAAAAAATAAAAATAAAATCCAATACTTAGGAATATACCTAACCAAGGAAATGAAAGACCTCTACAAGGAAAACTACAAAACGCTGCTGAAAGAATTCACAGATGACACAAACAACTGAAAACACATCCCATGCTCAAGGATGGGTAGAATCAACACTGTGAAAATGACCACACTGCCAAAAGCAATCTACAAATTCAGTGCAATTTAATACCATTATCATTCCTCACGGAACTAGAAAAAACAATCCTGAAATTCATATGGAACCAAAAAAGAGCCTGCACAGCCAAAACAAAACTAAGGAAAAAGAACAAATATAGAGGCATCACACTACCCAAATTCAAACTATACCACAAGAATACAGTCGCCAAAACAGCATGGCATTGGCATAAAAACAGGCACATAGACCAATAGAACAGAACAGAGAAAGCAGAAATAAAGCCAGATACTCCTAGCTAACTAATCTTCAACAAAGCAAACAAAAACATAACCTGGGGAAAAGATACCCTATTCAACAAATGGTGCTGGGATAACTGGCAAGCCACATGTAGAAGAATGACACTGGATTCTCATCTCTCCCCTTATACAAAAATCAACTCAAGACAGATGAAAGACTTAAATCTTAGACCTGAAACCACAAAAATTCTAGAAGATAACATCAGAAAAACCCTTCTAGACATTGGCTTAGGCAAAGACTATATGACCAAGAACCCAAAAGCAAATGCAACAAAAACAAAGATAAATAGATGGAATTTAATTAAATTAAAAAGCTTCTGCACAGCAAAATAAATAATCAGCAGAGTAAACAGAAAACCCACACAATGGGAGTTAATCTTCACAAACTATTCATCTGACAAAGGACGAACAGCCAGAATCTATAAGGAACTCAAACAAGTCAGCAAGAAAAAAAACAATCCCTTCAAAAAGCCTAAGGACATGAATAGACGGTTCTCAAAAGAAGATATACAAATGGCCAACAAACATATGAAAAAATGCTCAACGTCACTAATTATCAGGGAAATGCAAATCAAAACCACAATTTCGGCAATACGTACCTTACTCCTGCTAGTACGGCCATAATTAAAAAATCAAAAAATAATAGATGTTGGCATGAAAGTGGTGAAAAGGGAACACTTTTACACTGTTGGTGGGAATGTAAACTAGTACAACCATTATGGAAAACAGTATGGAGATTCCTTAAGGAACTAAAAGTAGATCTACCATTTGATCCAGTAATCCCACTACTGGGTATCTACCTGGAGGAAAAAAAAGTCATCATATGAAAAAGATACTTGCACATGCATATTAATAGCAGCACAATTTGCAACCTGAGTTGCATCAATGAGTAGATAAAGAAAATGTAGTGTGTATATACATAAACCATGGAATACTACTCAGCCATAAAAAGGAACAAAATAATGGTATTTGCAGCAACCTGGAGGGAGTTGGAGAGCATTACTCTAAGTGAAGTAACTCAGGAATGGAAAACCAAACATCATCTGTTCTCACCTATAAGTAGGAGCTAAGCTATGAGGACACAAAGGTATAAGAACGAGATAATGGACTCTGGGGACTTGGGGAGAAGGGTGGGAGGAGGGTGAGGAATAAAAGACTGCACATTGTGTACAGCGTACACTACTCGGGTGATAGGTGCATCAAAATCTTGCAAATCACCGCTAAAGAACTTATCCATGTAACCAAGCACTACCACTTCCCCAAAAAACCTTCTGAAATAAAAAAAAAAAAAATATGTACACCATAAATATATGTACCTACTATGTTCCCACAATAATATTTGAAAAACTACTAAACAGTACACTTTATCTAAATACTTGTTTCTAACCAAATTAGAAGCCATTTTATTACTGAAAGCCTTTTATAGTTGAAATAACAATATTTTCTACATATATTGCATTTAGAGGTTTTGCATACTATCCTCATGACCCTGTAGTATTTTCCTCATCAACCACTGAAGACCCTGAGGTTAAGAGAAGTTGAGTGAACGGCTCAAGATCACACAGCTAGTCAGTGGCAGAACAGTGGTGTGAACTGCCCAAGATCACGCAGGAATCAGTGTCAGAAAAACAAGAAAGGGAACTGCTCAAGATCACACAGGAGTCAGTGGCAAGTCTCTGGATGGCTAATCCAGCTCTTTCTCCATTACTCCAACATGCTTATTACATCCGACAGCACTTCCCTCAGTACTGTACCAAGCACTGACCACCCCGTTACCAAGACTCTAAAAGTTAACACTGACATCTAATGGCAAGTTCAGATTCCTACGAACCAGAGTCTGATGGACTTTTAATTCACCGGCACTGGATTTCTTTATAGATGAAAAAAATGAACTGAAAGGGGATGACTTCCCAGTCAGGATACAATCACCTTGGATTCCTACAGGATTAGAATCTTTTCGCTTTGTAGGCTTTGCAGTCTAGCAAATGATAGGAGTTAGAAATAGGTAAGCACTAATATTGCCTATGTTTTAGGGTTTTTGCTTTTCACTACAATCACAAAATCTCAATGTCTTGGTGCTTCTAGCTATCCATTTATAAACTGAAAACATATATTCTAGTTAGTGACCCAATGATAAAAGTGTAGTAGATCAGAGGCCTTTCCCATCTTATAGCCACTTAATTTGAAAATTTCTTCCCATTGTACTTTTGACATGCTATTCCCTCTTCCCATCATTCTATCACTAAAGTCCATCCAACTCCCTTCAAGAATCAGCACTGTTCTTGTCTCTTTGCTTCCTATTTCACATTAGGCCTTCTTCTTTACTCCCTTCAAACAACTAAGGATTTGAGAAAGAAAATAATTACTGCTTCACACGCTGGGAAGAGGCTGAAGTAAAGCTAAGTCCATGAGAGGCTTAGCTTTAGTTTTGGTCCTAAATTTTATACAGAGAAGTAGGGTACCACCAGGGAGCAGTGTGTTGCCTACTTTTAGCATGTACTTAAAGTAATTTTCAGCTTCATTTTTTTTCTAGACTTGATTATCACTACAGAGTTACTACCAATTATGGAATATGGCACATTAGCAACATAGCAAAATGTAACTGTGGAGTTAAATTATGATAATTCCTTTGGAGGACTTTGATGCCATTACGCATTAAGGAATAAGAAAGAGATATGGCTTTTCCTTCAATTAAACACCATAGGGATAACCAGCAAGAAGGACAAAGAGAATTCACAAAGCTCGTGAAAGTGCCATCTACCTTCATTATGTTGCAAGCTTGTTAATATCTATATAACATAAGGATAATATCCTGTTATTTATTTCTATCCATCCAGCTTGCTGAATGACCTTGATCACATCGCTTCTTTCAGCCTCAGGTTCCCCCATCTATGAAATGGGGAGAATTATATTGTATTGGATAAGGGTATAATAAAATATGTAATTAATCAGTTACCCATAAAACATTCTGAGATCATAAAATAAAAGGCAATATAGAAAAAAAAATTTTTAAGGGTAATGCTATAAAATTCTGGTAAAAAGATTTATAAGACTGGAACTCACTAGAAAAATTTACCAAAGAAGTTATTTTTAAAGATCCTTTAAAATTGTATTTACAGATGAATATTCAACTATGTTTATCCATGAAATAGGTACATCATAGTTAATAGCAGACTTACTTCACAATGCCTGTAACAGAAAGTTATTTTCTTTAAAATTGAAGAGGAACAATTTTCAGGTTCTTTAGCCTGAAACCACAATTAATAATACTCATTCAAAAGGCATCAGTATATGGGCATAGCAAAGACAGGGAAGGACAAAGTACGCTGTCATTAATTCTATCCTCAGGTCCAAAGAGCTCTTGGGCACTCCAGACCATCTGTACCTGTTGGGTGAGGAGGTTGATGTGGCTGGATGGAGAATACTGTCTCGCTGCCTGCTTCTCAGCGAGTCGCTGAAGTTCAGCTGTCACCATACTTTGGTTGTACCGTTTGTTATATAAAGAAGCATCTTCTCCCTCTTTTTGTGTTTTGGCTATTCCTGAATGATGCTTGTTTTGATAGCACGATCCTGCTAAAACGAAGAAAAGTTTTCACTCACTCAGGAAAAAAGCCGTGAAAAAAATTAGGATAATGACAGAAATCTCAGGTCCACAGACACTTTACTGAACCCTAGGGATCTTTAATAACATAGGAGTAATAAACTATCTTCAAATGATCACAAAAATAAATGCTTATCATAACCTAGAAACTCTTCCTATTACCAAACTGCCACATGCATTATTTATTAATGTGTTTTTGCTTTATAATGAAAGCTTCACAAAGATTTTCATTACATGTAGTGGGAATAATCCTAGAATTTACTAATCTTACTGAATATAAAACATATCTTTGAAACTCATTATAATTCTTGTTTTTCTTGTTATGTAACTGTACTTGTCAACAGTCTGTGGCATCCACTGTCAAATCATCCACAATACTTAAAAAGCTCAAAAAAAGAAAAGGGGATAAAAGTAAAATCGAGTGTACTGAGAAAAACAACAATAATCTTATATTTTCAAATGACTTATTTCCCTTTCAGATATAAATTTTCTTCTTTCAACTGTAAAATCAGAGCATTCTATTATTTAACCACTAAAATTCTGGCAAAAAAGAAATTATTTAACATAAAATCATGACTCAGCTGAGCACAGTGGCTCATGCTTGTAGTCCAGCTACTTGGGAGGCTGAAGCAGGAGGATTGCTTAAACCCAGGAGTTCAAGGTTACAGTGAGCTATGATCATGCCATGGCACTCCAGCCTGTGTGACAAAACGAGAATCTGTCTCTAAAAACAAAATAAAAGTTTCTATTTTTCCTGATTGTAAAAGTCACATCCTTTCAAAAAAATCTGTTTAGCTCAGAAAAGTAGAAATAATATATTTCCTTTGTTTTTTTAAAATTAATGCTAACATAATAATGATCATTCTGTATATGCAACTGATTTTCTAAACCTGTAACTTTTTCATGTTTACTATATTATACAGTACATATAAAATACTTATAATAGCTGTATATAGTTATAAGATTATAATGAACACCTGTGAATTTACTACCCAGCCCAGGAACTACATTATCAACAATAGCACTAACCTATATGGTTGTTCCTCCCCATTCCTAATCTCCCTTTATCATTCTTTTAATAGTTTTATCAAATATATTTGTGTGTACACGCATATACAAACAAAATACTAGATAATTTTGCTTGTTTTTGAACTACAAAAATGGTATTCTACTATAGACATTTTCTGGGATTTGCTTTGCTATTCATCACTACTCTTCCAAGATTCATCCTTGTTAAGTATAGCTGAAAGTCATTCATTTTCCTTGCTGTCTAGCATTCCATTTTGTAATTACATCATAAATTATGTTTCTGTTTCCCTATTGACAGATATTGTGGTTATTTCAAGCATATTGCTATTACAAACAACGCAGCCATAAACACTCTTGCATACATCTGCTGGTGCACATATGGAAGAACTCCTCTTGTATATGCGCAGGAGTGGAATTGTTGGGTCACAAAGTACGTAAAAATTTTCAAGTTTATGTAATAATACCAAAGTGGTACTTTTATACTCCAACAAACAAGATAAAAAAATTCCTGGGCCGGGCACAGTGGCTCACACTTGTAATCCCAGCACTTTGGGAGGCTGAGGCAGGGGGACCACTTGAACACAGAAGTTTGAGACCAGACTAGGCAGCAAAGTGAGATCTCTTCTTTACAAGAAATTAACTGGGTGTGGTGGCATGGGCCTATAGTTCCAGTTACTCAGGAGGCTGAGGTGTGAGGATTGCTTGAGCCCCAGGTCAAGGCTGCAGTGAGCCATGACTGCACCACTACATTCCAGCCTGGGTGACAGATTGCGACCCTGTCTCAAATTTAAAAAGAAAAAGAAAATAATTTCTGTTGATCCGTAGCCTGTTTAACACTTAGTATTGTCAAGTGTCTTAATTCTTCCCTAAGATGGTGGAAAATATCACTGTAGCCTTCATGTACCTGATTAATAATGATGTGGAACATGTTACCTCTTTTCTGATATCATTTTTCTATTGGGCTATCTTTTCCTTTTTGACTTATATGAGTTGTGCTTTTGTTTTTACTTGTGCTCCATACCACAAGTTCTTAATGATGGTCTCCTTTATTATTTTATTTCATTATGGAAGTTTTACATATGAAATTGATTTTATACATAGTGTGAGGCAGGAATCTAATTGCATCTTTCTCCGTAGGGATAACCAATTACCCCAGGAGCATTTATCGAGAAATCTCTCCTTTTCCTCTGATCTACAATGCCATCTCTGTCATACATCAAAGTTCCATCTTTCTACGTGATTGTATCTAACTTTCTATTCTGTTCCACTGGTCAGTTTGTCTACGCCTTTGCCAATACCACACTGTTTGTCTTAAGTATCAGACCTTTATATTAATAAGGTGCTCCTCCACCTTATTTTCTTCTTCAGTAGGTTGTCACTATTCTTGGCTCTTTGCCTTTCTACTATCATTTTAGAATAGGCTTACCAAATTCAATGACAAACTTAGTGAGATTTTGGTTGGGAACTATAGCGAATACAGAGATCGATGTGATGAAAATGAAAACTGATGATATTGAGTCTTCCTATGCATGTACATGGTATATTTATCCATTTATTTAAGTTTTCTTTAACGCCTAATATCTATGTCTTTCAATGTAGTCTTGTAAAACTTCCTTTCTTTTCTAAATGCATTCCTAGGTGACATAGTTTTTATGCTATTATTAGTGATATTTTTAAAAAATACTTTTATTGGTGGTGATGGCTGCACAACAATGTGAGTGTACTGAATGCCACTGAACTTAAAATAGTTAAAATGATAAATTTTGTTATTTAATTTTATTCAAATCAAAAAACTGTTTCCTATCACTTTTGGCTAGTAATTTTGAAAGTAACTAATTTTTAAATATTGATCTTATGCTAAAATAACTATTTCTAAAATATATATGCAATTATTTTGTTTTCTATGTCGACAATATATTATAGGCAAATACAAAATTTTGTTACCTCTTTTTTGATCCTTATGCTTACAATTTCTTTTTCTTATCTTACTATGTTGGTTCTGATCTCTAGTAAAACATTGGACAGAAGGAATAATAGTGGGCATCCTTACTTGTTCTTAATGTTAAAGAGAATGCTTTCAACATTTCCACATTTAGGCTGGTAGCTCTTGTAGGTTTTCGGCAGACAGGCTTTTTCAGGTTCAGCGTCTCCTTCACTTCCTAGTGAGCTGAGAGTTATCATCATGAATGAATGCAGAATTTTATCAAATTCTTTTTCTCCATGTACCATGATGAAAAATATGTTTTTTTCTTTATTATATTAATGTGGCAAATGACATTTATAAGTTTGCTAATGTTAAACCCCTCCTACAATCCTTGAATAAACATGCTTATGGTGTACTACCTCTTTTAGATGTTGCCAGATTTGATTGGCTTTTATTTTGATTCGAATTTTTGCATTTGTGCTCGTAAGTGAAGCCAGTCTGTAATTTTCCTCTTTAATACTGTCCTTAATTGGTTTTATTATAAAGATGAAACTAGCCATACAGAATAAGTTGAGAAAAATTCTCTCTTTTTCTATACTCCAGAAGAGTTTTTTAAAAATATATTGAAATTATCCACCTCATGAAAGATTAGAACTTACCCATAAATCTAGGCTGTATGTTTTCTGTAAGACTTTCAACTACTGTTATCACTTATTTTAACACTTAGAGGAATATTCAGACTTTCTTCATCTTCTTGAGTAAATTTTACATAAGTTATAGTTTGTATGAGTTTGGCCCATTTTATCTAAGCTTTCAATTTTTTTAGAATAAAGTTAAGATTACATTATTTTTGTCATTTTGGGTATATTTATATTTTTTATGTCTGCTTTTCCACTCCTTATATTATTTATCCATGTTTTCTCTTTTTTCTTGATAGGTGTCCCCAGAGGTTTGTCCTTTTTATTAGGCTTTTCAAAAAATCACTTTTGGATTTGCTACCCTCTATTGTGCCTTATTTTTGAAATCTGTAATTATTGCTCTTTATTATTTCTTTCTCCATTTAGATTTATGATACTGTTTTTATAATGTCTAAAGCCAGACATTTAGCACATTAATTTCCACCTGTCTTCTTTTCAAATATAAGTATTTATTTATTTTTATTTTTAGAAATGGGATCTCTCTATGTTGCCCAGACTGGTCTTGAACTCCTGTCCTCAAGCAATCCTCCTGCCTCAGCCTCCCAGGGAGCTGGAACTATAGGTGCACACCAACTCTAATTATTTAAGGCAGTAAATTTCCCTCCAAATACTGACTTTCATTGCACTCTACTTATCTGGACATATAGGCTTTTCATTATCATTCAGTTCTAATACTTTGTAATTTATCCATTAGGATTTCTTCTGACTTTTAAATTTTGAAATACACAGGAATTTCTTTTATATCTTTTTGTTACTGACTTTCAACTTAACTGCAGTGTGGACAAAGAATGTGGCTGTGTGATACCAAGTCTCTGAAATGTGTTCTCCTGTTTATGATGTAGGATATGACAGATTTTTAGAAAGATATCATATGCTTGAGGTGTTTCTCTAATTATTGGGTGCACAGTCCTATATATTATCAGTAGATAAACTTATCATCTTGTTCAAATCCTCTTTATCCTTTCAGCGTTTTAAAAATCTGTTTAGTATATTAATAATTAATAGAAGTATGTGAAAATCACCCACGAAGACAGTGGATTTACAGATTCTTCATGCAGTTGTCTCCATTTTTGTGTTACATATTTGGAGGCTATTTTATTAGGTAAGACACTTATGGAATTATTTTAACTTTTGACTGAAATGAACTTTTTGTCATTATGCAGTTACTCTTTATCTGTAGGAAAGTTTTATACCTTCAAGTTTATTTTAGCATATATTAATGCAACCATACCAACTGTCTTCTGGTTGGTACTAATCTGGTATTTATTTCTTCAACTTTTTGCTTTTAAACATTGTGTCCTTAAGTTTAGGTGTGTGCCTCTGGTAAACGGCATGCAGTTGGATTTTTTAAAGCTTTAAAACTTTGGCAAGTTTAACCTATTCATGTTTATTTGATTCTTGATATATCTGGACTTGATTTACTATGTTTTTGTTTTGTTTTGTTTTTTTGAGATGGAGTCTTGCTCTGTTGCCTAGGCTGGAGTGGAGTGGCAAGATCTTGGCTCACTGCAATCTCTGCCTCCAAGGTTCAAGCGGTTCTCTTGCCTCAGCCTCCTGAGTAGTTGGGACTACAGGCCCGCGCCACCGCACCCCACTAATTTTTTTGCATTTTTGGTAGAGACAGGATTTTACCATTTTGGCCAGCCGGGTCTTGAACTCCTGACCTCATGTGATCCGCCCACCTTGGCCTTCCAAAGTGCTGGGATTACAGGTGTAAGCCACTGCACCCAACTGATTTACTATGTTTTAAATTTCTATTTATCTTGCCTTTTCCATGCTTCTTGCTTGCATAAACCTAAGTTTCTGCATGCTTTTTATTATCAATTCATTTTTCTTCTCCCCATAAGATTAGAATTTATATTTTTATTCTTTTAGTGATGACCTTTGAAATTTGATGCTATATATTAAATTTTTAAGTCTATAGTTAAATAATATCTTACTCCTATTCCAAAACCATTCAATTACCACAGAAAAATTTAACTCCAATCAATTATAGGCTGCTGTTGATTATATATTTTTGTCAATATATTGTTGTCTACTACTGTTCAATCCATTCCGAATATTTCTTTAATCACAGTGGAAATAAGCTAAATATCAATTACAAAAAATAAAGAATCCCAGCTACCTTAAAATTAAACAATATATATAATTCAAGAGTCAAAAAAGAAATCACAACAGATATCAGAAAATATTTATGAACTGACCAGCTTCTTTCGGTCCCTACCCTTTTCTTGGAAAGGATCAAAAGGGAGGGTTTTGAAAAAGTTTTTATGATAACATCGCCACTGGAGACACTGATCTTACTGAATTTCTTCCATGGGGAAAAACAGTTCAAACCAGAATATTACTGATCACTATTATCACTGATTTTAGAAAATTAAATCACAAGAACAATAATCACCCAGAATTAGCAGAGATATATACATATGCATATACTCATATTTATGACTTATTAAAGTAGACCATTTAATATCTCTGATTCAAGCTGCATATTACAATATCTGTTTCATTTGAAATCAGGTATTAAGAAATATAGAGTGGCTATTTATAAAACACGTCTTAGCTGCAACTCACCTTAACATAGCTATTACTAGTGTTTAAATCTTGACTGATGTTAAGATACTCCCCAAATTGATCCACAGATAATAATCCTATCAAAATCCCATCTGCCTTTTCTTGAGGAAATTGACAAGCTGATCCTAAAATTCATATGAAAATGCAAAGGATCCAGAACAGCCTAAACAATCTTGAAAAAGAAGAGTGAAGTTGGAACAATCATCCTTGGTGATTTCAAAACTTGCTATAATGCTGCAGCAATCAAGATAACGTGATATTGGCATAAGGGCAGACACCCAGATCAATGGAATAAAACTGAGGCCCTAAAAATTACCCTTACACATTTAATTAACTAATTTTTTAGAAGAGCACCAAAACAATCCCATGGGAAAACAATACTCTTTTCAACAAATGGTGCTGATATAACTGAATATTCACATGCAAAAGAACGAAGTTAAGACTCCTACTTCATACCATATAGAAAAATTAACTCAAAATGGACAAAAGACCTAAATATACGATCCTAAACTATAAAACACAGGAGGGGCTGGGCATGGTGGCTGACACCAGTAATCCCAGCACTCTGAGAGGATAAGGTGGACAGATCATGAGGTCAAGAGATGGAGACCATCCTGGCCAACACGGTAAAAACCTGTCTGTACTAAAACTAAAAAAATTAGCTGGGTGTGGTGGCATGTGCCTGTAGTCCCAGATGCTCGGGAGGCTGAGCCAAGAGAATCACTTGAACCCGGTGGGTGGAGGTTGCAGTGAGCTGAGATCGCGCCACTGCACTCCAGCCTGGTGACAGAGCGAGACTCCGTCTCAAAAAGCACAACAAAACATACAAAGAAGTCTCTGTGAAACGAGATTAGGCAATAGTTTCCAGATATGATACCAAAAGCACAAGTGACAATAGAAAAAAAAAACCAGATAAGTTGGACATCATTAAAATCTAAAACTTTTGTGCTTCAAGAAAGTCAAAAGATAACCATCAAATAGGGAAAAAATATTTCTAAATCATAACTGACAAAGGGCTTTTATCTAGAGTATATAAAGAACATTTACACTCAACAATAAAAAGGAAAATATACCAATTTTTAAAATGGCAAAGAATTTAAACAGACATTCCTCCAAAGAAAATATACAAATACCCAATGAGCAAATGAAAAGATATACAACATCATTAGCCATCAGGGAAATGCAAGTCATAACCACAAAAAAGGGATACTATTTCATACCCATTAGGATGTGAAAATCAAAAACAGAGACAATTCATAGAGTTGGCAAGGATGTGGAGAAATTGGACCCCTCAAATACTGCTGGTAGTAAAAGGGCATAACCACTTTGAAAAACAGTTTACAAGTTCCTCAAAAAGAGGAAATACCAAAAGTTATCATATGACCCAACAATTCCACTCTACCATATACTCAAGAGAAATAAAAACATATGTCCACACAAAAACTTACAAATGTTCATAGCATCATTATTCATAATGGCCAAAAGGTATAATAAACACATCAAATGCCCAACAATTAATGGCTAAACAAATTGTGGTATACCCATACAATGGAACATTATTCAGCCATAAAGGGAATGAAGTTCATGCTATACCATGGATGAACCTGAAAAACATTATGCTAAGTGAAAGCAGCCATTCTCAAAAGACCACCTATTATATGATTTGACTTATATAAAATGTCCAGAATAGACAAATCTGTAGAAACAGAAAGTAGATCAGTGGCTGCCAGGGACTGGGGGAGGAAGAAATAGTGACTGCTAAGAGGTACGGGGTTTCTTTTGGAGATGATGAAAGTATTCTAATATTAGATAGTGGTGGTGATTGCACAAGTCTGTGAATATACAAAAAATACCACTGAACTGTAGACTTTAAAAGGGTGAATTTGATGGAATGTAAATTATACCTCAATAAAGCTATTAAAAAATGGAGGACAAATTTGACTGATAATATGGGTTTATTTTGGTTAAAATTATATATCCTATTCTATGAATTCTTTGGTTATTTATTCAGGTCATTCTTGACTTAAAAACTAACTTGTCTGATGTTGGGAATAACTATTTGAATCAGAAATGCATATAGCACACTTACAGGTCAATGGTATCTATGATAGGCAATCTCTTGACTACGCTGTAGGCTCCTAGTGAATAGAAGCCTTGTCAGATTCATCTCTTTATCTCCAGTACCTAAAAGAAGTCCTGTTTCATTTTGTATCAATGAATGCATGCTACTGGATGCAATGCAAGTGTCTTCCTTAGTCACATCAGAACAATGCAGAGTGTGTGCCTTTCCATTTCCAAAAAAAAAAAAAAAAAAAAAAAAGGCAAAGAAAAGAGATGACATTCTTTCTTTATTGGGGCTGGGGAGGAGCTAACACTGTGGACTGTCTTTCGTTCTCTCACTCACCTGCCTTTGCTGAAGAGGGACGAGACAGTTTCTGGCTATAGATGTGTGCAGCACTTTGGAAAGAGGAAAAGGGGCCAATGGTGTAACTTCCTGATCGACAGCGTGGCAGGCCAGCAGGGCTTGGGATGTTGTGTGCCCCAGGATGGAGGGAGGGAGAAGCACTGTCAGAGACTGTGTTCAGTAAAATTGTTGGCTGGTGAGGTATGCTAGGGATAGCTGAAGGAATTTGAGATAAAGAAGAATGGTGGCCAGGCCCTGGAGAGAGGTCAGAATTCCCAGAGGTGTTGGGAATTTTCTGCAGAGTAGCAGCAGGACCAGAGAAAGTAGAGGAAGAATTGGTATAAACTAATTTAGTCTCTTTTTCTGCTGAAGTGGTAAATCCTATTAAAAACAAAACAAGACAAGACATCATTTTAGGAAAAATGGACATACAATCTCTATAAAACATAAATGTTTTTAAAACATAAATATCACAATCATCTTGGCATGAAACAGAAATCATGAAAAACACAGACTTTAATGAGTATTCATCATAAACTTAATGATTTTTGCCTATCAGAAATGACCTGAAAACAGAAATAGGAATTTACTTTTAGTCCTTTCTAAAAGCTGCAGTTGGGACAGCCACTATGAAAAAGAGCAGGCATGTTTCACACGTTAGGACATCAAGACAAAGTCTCCGCTAGCAACAGCTAATTCCTCTCACTCTCCTTTTTATCCTTCTAGACTTAAGAAAATAAAAAAGTCTTTGGAAGAAAAATAGTTTATCGACAGGTAAGAGAAAATTCTAAGGGAAAAGGAGTAACAAAGAAAAATAATTTCTTTGGGGTAATGTTTCATGCTCTAGAAATAATATCTGATGACTATTTTCGTCTTTTAGGGAATTATCACAGAGCAGCAAATCTACGTAGGTTTGAAATCACTCACGAGATAATTTATCAGAATGAATTTCTGTTGTCTGTTGCTGCTTAGGCGGCTTTATTTTCCCTTCTTCCACTATTGTCTCAGGGTGATCTGAAATAAGAAATACTGAGCTTAAAACTCCCTTATAATCAATTGCAAGTCCATTGTTCTGTATATCATTTTATTTCCAAAAATATAACACAACTTCTAATCAATGCTTGGAAAATATGACATGTCTCACCACACTTTTCCAAGGATGAACACACCCACAGCCCTATGGAGTCAGCAACCAATTAAATGTTTCCCAGCTATACCCAATCCCAGCTATAGTTAGCTAAACCAGAAAAAGGTATCCAAACCTATGGCCATTCATGGACAGCTAACAAGCTAGGGCATATCTGGGAGAAAAAAATATTAAGGGCCATCAGGTGCTTATGCCAGGAATTCAGACTGAGGGTTCTAAGAGACCAGGTTGGTTGGCAGTAGCTCCTGGAGCCAAGTCGTAATACGTATGGGGCAGCGAAGCTACCCCGACACAGCAAGAGCAGTCCCACTATTCATTGGCATAATGCCTGGATACTGCGATGGCTCTGTATCTTAAACTCCTCAGTTTCACGGGAGATAGGTTGATCAGTATATTCAATAATAGTATCATTCTAAAAAATTTTGACTTTAACACTTAATTTTTTCTTCACAACAGAATTTTGAAACAGAATAGCCAGAGCTAATCATATATAAAAGTATTCCAAAATCATGTCAAGGGCTAGAATCATACAAAAACTTAAGAAAGGCCAATTTTATGAATCATCTTTCAGAGTGGAAGAATAAAGACATATGAATTTTCTCCCCTCCATCGCCAACAGCAGTGGTCACACTGTCACACGCTTGTTGGTTCATGTTTGAAATGAGCCCAGATACCATACTATCAAATGTCATAATGTTGTTTCCTTGATTGAAGCCTTCCCACTGTCCCCTAGTTATCCTTAATAGATTTAGACAGGTGTAGATCTTATGTAAAGCTAGTCCTTAAAACACACACTTTAGAATTTCGAATGACCCATCAGTATAAAAGATGTTGCCACTACATGCTGTTAGGGCTTCCACATTATTGCCAGGGGAGAAACTGTTAGATGAACTTCCATCTAGGCCCCCAACTCCCCAAATGAGCACACTTTTCTCTATCCCTTATTATAAGAATTCCTTTGCCTCCCTTAGCCAATGCTCTTATAGGAGCTTTTCAGAGTTTCTGCCAGCTTTCTTCTTATATTCACTCACCTGACTTTATCTACCAGACAATAAACTTTATAAAGTTAAAGACTTCGACAGTCCTGGTCATTGTATCCCTAGCAACCATGAAAGTGCCTAACACGCAATAGGCCGCTAAGTAAAAAAGATAAGTATAGAAGGAATGAATGAACAGGTGAATGAAGTTAGAAAAAAAGGGCTGGATTCAGGACTTCCAGTAATAAAATAATTCAATTATACAATGAGTTAAATAGGCTTATGCGGATTAGCCTATGAATCAAATCAGTTTTTAAAACACTAACACTGTTTCTTTGGGAAAATTCATTCCACATTTTAAATGACTAATCTTCCTGGCTATTTCTGCATTAGATTATCATAGCCTTAAGAGCAGGGAAGAAATCTCCATCTTTGAATCTAGTGCTTAGCACACTGAAAAAATCAGTAGATTGATTACCTATGCCTTAGGCTTCCATCTAGGTTTTAATTTCATATTTAAAGCACAGAGCTTTGTTTATAACAGTATGTCACTATTTTTTTTTTTTTTTATCTTGGTTACATGAGCTAGACAGCATGTCCATATCCAATTACAAAATCCCCAACCATGGAATTCCCCAGCAGTAAGAAGTTTTAGAAACATATGGGGGCATTCTGGATTATCACAATGGCTGAGGGAAGCTAATGTCATGACAGAGTTGGAACCAAGTATATTAGACACCAGGTACGGAACAGCCCCATACAACAAAGAATTATCCTGCTCTAAATGCCAATGATGTTACCATAGAGAAAGTAACAAACTTGACAAGAGTGAGAAATAATCATTAAGAGAGACAGAAAGGTAGATTAAGAGCACAAACTTTGAGTCAGGCAGGCTATGGATCAAATTCCTTGTCCCTGCATAATAAAGAATAAGCTTGGGCAAGTTCCTCAGTCTCTCTTAGCTTATTTTCTAATTTGTAAAGAGGTTTTGTAAAAGTGCCCACTCTATGTGGTTTTGGAAAGTAAAAAATAAGACCATGTCCAGCAGACGGTAAGATAGGTGTTCACTAAATACCAGCTATGAGTAGCTTTTCTTGAAAAGCTCTCTGCTGTTAATTATCATGAAAAAAAAAAAAATCAGACCATGGCCCTCTTCTGCTTTTAGGACAGAAAGTACTATCCCCCATGCTCCACCCACTCCCCACGTTGCAAAGTCTCACTACCTTGGAGACTATTAGTGCTTATTAGCCAACACATTATTCCTCATTCTCCTTTGCAGTTCTCATTTCTTCACTTGTTCTTCTTATTTTTCATTAAGTAACCAACACACTTACCACCTTTTGCCCCACTATCAGAATAACTGTTGTTGTTCTTAGAACTTTTAGAGTGAGTCCCCAGGAAGACACTGGCAGATTTGTTCTTTTGGGTATAAAAAGTCAACACCTCCTCCAGTTCAGCCTCACTGAAATGAGGAGAAAAAGTATGGTCAGACAGGAAGCTATTCTGGAAAATCTTTCCACCAGATTTTATTATGGAAACAGAGCAAGCTGGAAAAGGGAAAAATGAAAAGTGCAAGCTGAAAATTCCCTATTAATAGGTGGTTAAAATGAAATATAAATGAAAGCAATCTAAAAAATTTAAAGCACATGGCTTTATTCATTTTATTCATCCCACAGTAAATTTTCTAGATCTGCACTGTCTAATATGGTAGCCACTAGTCAGTCACATGTGACTATGTAAATTCAAATTAAATTAAAGATTTTTTTCCCCATAGTTATACTAGCCACATTTCAAGGGTTCTGCAGTCACCCACAAAATGTTTCTGCTGGACAGCCATGTTCTAGAACAGGTGGCAACCAACTCACACTGCAGGCTAAACCTAACTAGTGACTTGTTTTCATGGCCCCCAGCTAAGCATTTAAAAAATATTTTTAAAGAAGGAGATGTTTAAAAAAAAAAAAAAAAAAGTTTGTCCAGCTCACTTCTAGATAACTGAAGTATCTTCACTTAAAGAGTCACTTATTTTCATTGCCTATGTCAGAAACAAGGAAATCTACCAATAACCACAGAATTTCCTAACCATCTATGTAATGCAGGAAACTAAACTAGATCATCTCTAACTCACTTCAAATTACTGAAATTATATGCTCTTTATGAACAGCCACAAAATAGAATCCTGGTCAACATGGTGAAACCCCGTCTCTACTAAAACTACAAAAAATTAGCTGGGCATGGTGGCGCGTGCCTGTAATCCCAGCTACTCAGGAGGCTGAGGCAGGAGAATTGCCTGAACCCAGGAGGCGGAGGTTGCGGTGAGCCGAGATCGCGCCATTGCACTCCAGCCTGGGTAACAAGAGCGAAACTCCGTCTCAAAAAAAAAAAAAAAAAAAAAAGAAAACAGATGAGGGCTAGTGGATTCTTCTAGTGAACATGTCACGCATGGACTTTTACATCTGTGGCTTCTCAATGGCCTTTTCCTTTTCTTTCCTTTAGCTTGGCTACGTTCTAGGTAAGTGGCTATTAAGTGAAGCATGCCTATATTATCACAGAGAACCTATATCCAATCTTCAGAAAACACACTCTAACTGGAACCTAGAAACCACCATTATGAATCTCAGCATAGACCCCAAAGTCTTCAAAGTAGCTAAATGCCCAAGGTAAGTCTCTCAGGTAACTACCAAAGATCTACAGCTGAGGTTGCAAACAGGCAGCTACCTCTGGCTGTCGGCGTGTTTTATTTGGCCCTTCACAGAATACTGAAAGGCAAAGGTTATGGTTGGTCAAAATACAAGCTGCTTTATATCTGTCTTATCCTCTGCCCACTTCATAATTTATGTTTTCCTGCCTGACTCTTGCAGGTATTTGAATTTACCAGCCCTGAAAAGTATCCATGTATTCAAACCAAACTTAATAAAAGAACTGACGATACCACATATTTCCCAATAATCAATGACTAATCCACAATCAGAAGTAATTATGTTCCAAAGCATTTTATCTCCAAATCTATATAATTAGTTAAGAGTATGTATAATTCATTTTTAGTATCCAGTTAGACTTGCTTGGGAAATAGCGCCTTTTTAAAGGTTAGGGATTTTTTTCTTCTTTTTTTAACTATATATTTTAGGGATTTTGAAGATCCTTAGGGTAAACCAGAAATTAATCTTTTAGCTTTAAAAAATAGAGCTATTTTCTGGACAAAAATCTGTTTTCTTTTTTTCCTTTTCTGTTTTTACAATATTGATGAGAGAAGCTGTTTCTATACCTGTTTTATCAATCATATTACTTAAGACTCAAAAATGTCAACAAATAACATCATATAATTATGAACACCTACAAAATGATATATTTGTTTGCTGTAAAAGCACTTGATAGTGAGGTCTGTAAAAAGTATTAAACAAAGATCATAGTATGCTGGTGATTGATAAGCCCCTACCCCTACCTCATTTAACTTCACAAATCAACATAGGATAGATTTTCTACTGATTTTCTCCCTATTTGTGACTTTGACAGTTGAAACCTAAGTAATGGGGCTTATGGTTGCTTTATCCTATTTTATTTTAATGGTTTTGCACATCTCTCTATTTAGAAAAAAAAACTTACACTTCTAGTGTAAGTTTTACAAGATTTAAAATTAAGTGCCTTTGTTATCTCTTCCTTTATAGGCCAACATAAACGGACAAAATGGCCTGGCTGACTTTTATCAAGATAGAGAGATGAATATCGAGATTTTTCATTCATAGAGTCTAGTCCTAAGCATGAAGAACTTGTTCTATTTTACATAAATTAGGTGTAACCCTCACAAGTTGAGAAATTCAAATTCCTCAACCTATTTAATGTAGGCACAATGTGGTCATTTCTACTCCATGAGTAGGTCAGGGATAAATTCAGACCCAGTAAATATGAGATGCCTTGGCCGGGCGCAGTGACTCACGCCTGTAAACCCAGCACTTTGGGAGGCCAAGGCAGGCGGATCACGAAGTCAAGAGATTGAGACCATCCTGGCCAACATGGTGAAACCCCATCTCTACTAAAAAATACAAAAATTAGCTGCGTGTGGTGGCACGTGACTGTAGCCCCAGCTACCCGGGAGGCTGAGGCAGGAGAATCGCTTGAACCCAGGAGGCAGAGGTTGCGGTGAGGCGAGATGGCGCCACTGTACTCCAGCCTGGTGATAGAGCGAGACTCCGTCTCAAAAAAAAAAAAAAAAAAAAAAAAAGGTGAGATGCCTCTAACTTCAACTTTCCAAAGGCCTCTCTTGTCACTTCGAGTGATGTATACTGTTTAGAACTACAGTCCTGATACCCAGCAGTAACGTTTTGATAATGAAAGCCATGAAAACAGCAACGTAATTCGCTAAGATATGGAAAGGCCACGCCTATAATGTTTTTTCTCCTTCTGAGAATGATTTTTTTCATCCTTTAGAGACAGGGTCTCACTATGTTGCCCAAGCTGGCCTTGAACTCCTGGGTTCAAGTAATCCTCCTGCCTCAGGCTCCCAAATAACTGGGACTAAAAGGGTGTGTTACTGTGCCCGGCTTTACGAGTGATTTCATTCCCATCCATTTGTCAGAAACAAGGGAATGCTGGGTATTCAACGAGCAGTGTGGAAGGTAGAATAAGATAGTTTTTATTAATCAGGAATGTCTTTTACCTTGCTTGTCTGATAAACTCCTGAAAGTTTTCCATATTCACTCCATCTTCCTCTTCTTCCTCAAGTTTCTTCTTTGATTTCTTTTCAGCCATTTGTTCTGTTTCCTACCCAGTGCCCAAACCCCACAGAAAAACAAGATAAAACTGACTCCTAATAAATATGCACTTCATCATGTAGTTTCAATAGCTTTGAGTTAATCAGTCCTTACAGTAAAGACATTTAATTCTTGTATGTACTTTTGCCACCTATAAATTTGATATATTACTTTTGGCCAGGATTTTGTAAAACATTTTGAAATTCCCAAGTTGCAGAATGAATGTGAGTTTTAATCATGTTTTTACTTTCTACTTACACAGCCCACTGATTAAAGAGCTTTTTAATAGTAGCTTAGTAGTATCTATGATCACTCTTGTAGCTTTAACAATATGACAACAGAGACACAGTGTTTTGTTCCAATTAGGAGAGGAAAGGTAGATCTTGGAAGATACTCTTATACCAGCTTCCAAACTGAATAAATCCTTCACTCATGTAACACATAACAAAATTCTCAAAAGATTTGGAATAAATTCTGGCTATGAGTTTGGTGCACTGATATTCTACTAACAATTCCATGCTACTTTAGAAAAGCCATTTAAATTTCTAGGCCTCAGCTTTTCCTTCCACAAACTGACCAAACCTCCCAAATTATATATATATATATTTCTTTTTTTTTTTTTTTTTAATTATACTTTAAGTTCTGGGGTACATGTGCAGGTCTTGTAGGATTGTTACACAGGTATACATATTCCATGGTGGTTTGCTGCATCCATCCCCCCATCACCTACATTAGGTACTTCTCCTAATCTCACCCCAATCTCCCCACCCCCTGCTATCCCTCCCCAAGCCCCCCACCCCTCAACAGATCCCAGTGTGTGATGTTCCCCTCCCTGTGTCCATGTGTTCTCACTGTTCAACACCCACTTATGAGTGAGAACATGCTGTGTTTGGTTTCTGTTCTTGTGTCAGTTTGCTGAGAATGTTGGTTTCAAGATTCATTCATGTCGCCGCAAAGGACATGAACTCATCCTTTTTTATGGCTGCATAGTATTCCATTGTGTACATGTGCCACATTTTCTTTATCCAGTCTATCATTGATGGGCATTTGGGTTGGTTCCAAGTCTTTGCTATTGTGAATAGTGCTGCAGTGAACATTCGTGTGCATATGTCCTTATAATAGAACGATGTATAATCCTTTAGGTATATACCCAGTAACGGGATTGCTGGGTCAAATGGTATTTCTCTTTCTAGATCCTTGAGGAATCGCCACACCGTCTTCCACAACAGTTGAACTAATTTATACTCCCACCAACAGTATAAAAGTGTTCTAATTTCTCCACATCCTCTCCAGCATCTGCTGTCTCCAGGTTATTTAATGATCGCCATTCTAACTGGCATGAGATGGTACCTCAATGTGGTTTTGATTTGCATTTCTCTAATGACCAGTGATGATGATAATTTTTTCATATGTTTGTTGGCCGAATAAATGTTTTCTTTTGAAAAGTGTCTGTTCATATCCTTCACCCACTTTTTGATGGAGTTGCTTTTTCTTGTAAATTTGTTTTAGTTCTTTGTAGATTCTGGATAATAGCCCTTTGTCAGATCCGAAATGATACTTTTAATGCATTCTGAGATCCCAGGATATAGGATGCTTTGCAAAATATTCTAATTAAATAGTGTATTTCCTGGACTTGAATGTAAAATTCTGTAACTGTATAAAATGATTTAAAAGATGAAAGTATAACTTGCTCAAGAAAGAATATGTCATCATATTCAATCCACAGCTCAAATTTGTTCTCAAATGGTCAATTTGCCACTGTCCACGGGCACACTAACAACCACGCAGACTCACACAGCCTAGAATTCATCTCAGTGCTCAAAAGGAATATACCTTTTGATGGAAATTAAGAATTAACTATGGCCGCTGGACCTTCAGAAGTAATAAATAGTTTTTCAACCCAGCTGGGTTAAGATGTGGGGTCCTTCTTCCCCTAACAGTAATGCACAAGGGATGGCGATGCCAGAGCCGAAGCAGAGCATCTCCACTTAGTTGGACCGAGGCTTCTAGTTTGTTTCTGACAGTGTATGGCAATCCAAAGCCCAAGACTTACAGATAAAAGACTCACCTTGCTGTATACAAGGATAAAGTCACCGAGCTGGTGGGCCAGGATCCTTCTGCGTTCCAGAAGTGCCAATCGTCGGCTGGGTAATATCATCCTCAGTGAATGCTGGAGGTTACTTGATGCTCGCTTGAGGAAACGAACTACCAGCTCCTATAAATTAAACAGTTGTGGGAGAAAAAAAAAGCAGGGATGGTGCTAAGCAACAGGAGACAAGCTACGAAGGGACTACATAACAGAGATGTAAGAAGATGTATATTACACATTTCAACAAACAAGGCCCAAAGCAAACAGGTTAGGTATAATGAAGATACAGAAAGAAACAAAAAAGAAAGAAACTTATTTCCTTCCCTCAATAAGCTGGCAATCAGAAAATTAAAATCAAGTATGTACATAAATAACTATGTAATAAAGCAGTAGTTGTAAAAGCACCTTAGTACATACACAAATAGTACTATTTAGGGAAGGTAGCATCCAAAGACAGGTAGCAGAAACTAAAGCTGTGGAAGCAGAAGTAAGTATCAAAGGTGAGAAAACAGAAAGAGAATACAGAAATATTCGTATTTAGAGACAGAAAAGCTGAGGAAGAACCAGGGGAAAAAAAAACAAGTTAGAAACATCAGAAACATAGAAAACCAGGAGAAAACAGGCTGGGCATGGTGGCTCACACCTGTAATCCCAGCACTTTTGGGAAGCTGAGGTGGGCAGGTCACCTGAGGTCAAGAGTTCAAGATCAGCCTAGCCAACATGGTAAAATCCCATTTCTAAGAAAAATACAAAAATTAGCTGGGCATGGTGGCACACACCTGTAATCTCAGCTACTCATGAGGCTGAGGCATGAGAATCACTTGAACGTGGGAGGCGAAGGTTGCATTGAGCCAAGATCACACCACTGCACTCCAGCTTGGGTGACACAGTGAGATTCCATTTCAAAAAATAAAAAACAAAGAAAATTAGGAGACAATGCTGTCATGGAAGCCAACTGAAGAAAGGGTTCCATGTCAAATGCTTCCAAGAGGTTGGAGCTGGAAAGGACCACTACAAAGACAGGGCCTTGGATCTGACCATTGAGGAATAATTTCAAGGAAACAGTTTCCACAAAGAGAGCACAAGAAGACATTAAGAAAATGCATGGGTAATGAAAAATACAGGTGAAGAGTAGAAACTAATGACTTTAAAAGTGTCATGATTAAGGCAAAGAAAGAACTATAATAGTAGCTTGCAAAGTAACAGCTATTTTTCTTTCCCAAGGATAAGGGAGCTTTTAGAGTTCGGGGTTGGCAAGGAGGGCACGGTGGAAAGTTATCAAGGGAAAGAAAGACTACATCTCACTTAAAATGGGGGAAAAGGATTTTGAAATCTGAACAGATACCAATCAGATTACTGATAAAATCACAAATGCTTCAAAGAAAGATTTTATAAGCCCAAGAGGCTTAAAGATGTTGTTGTCCAAAAACCATAATAAAACTGCCTTCAGATGATACATTTGGGGATGTTCTGTTGATATTCCCTCTGTGAGTTATGAGATAAAGAATCTCTAACCCTACGCTGGAGCAGAGAGGCCAAGTCTACAACTACCAAAAGCAAGATCACTGCTACAGTCATCAGGGAAGGGGGTACGGCTTGCTCTCTAGATACATTTTCTTTTTCTTTTCTATTTTTTATTGTTTTGTCGCCCAGGCTGTAGTGCAGTGGTGTGATCCCAGCTCACTATAATCTCTGCCTCGCAGGTTCAAGCAGTTCTCTTGCCTTAGCCTCCCGTGTAGCTGGGATTACAGGTGCAAACCACCACACCCAGCTAATTTTATATATTTTAGTAGAGATGGGGTTTTACCATGTTGGCCAGGCTGGTCTCAAACTCCTGGTCTCAAGTGATCCACCCGCCTTGGCCTCCCAAAGTGCTGGGATTACAGGCGGGAGTCACTGTGCCCAGCTTAGATATATTTTCAAGAAAGAATTCACAGAAGTGGTATTAAGTTTTGCAGTGATGATCCTCAATATTCTTGTAGAAAGCCCCAAAGATACTATATGAGTTCCAAGCCAGCATCAGCAGTGGTTATTCCTTTTTGAACTGTTTTCTTCTTCTTGAATTTGATTTTGGTTCATTGTCCTTTGGTGCCAATTTACTCCAGCATAAATGAAACAGCCTCATAACCAGAGGGTTGAATTTCACAGTTCTACTCTGCTGTCTTTACTATAGGGTGGTTTAAGCTGTTATATTAAAACATTTTTTTTTTTCACAGTGGAGCAGACAAACTGACTCTCAAAAAGGCAGTTTCAATTTTCCACTTGGAAAGAGTAGAGCTAACATTTTCCACTGATGGTTGAAGGATTATTCACAACACACAAGGTTTTATCTCTGGGTTGCATTGACTACTTTAAATGCATAAGTTGTTTTCTGGGATAACCAACATGTTTTTATAATAAACCTGGCATAAAGACTTGCCTTTTGTATGTGGAGGACTAAATATTACAGTAAGGTCACCACTGAGTGGAACAAAGAATGCAGCTTTCTCAGACTTAAAGTCCCCTCTCTTTTTAGTGACAAATCCCTGTAATTAAAAAGAATATGGGGCTAGATGCCATGGCTCACGCCTGTAATCCCAGCGCTTTGGGAGGCCGAGGCAGGCGGATCACCTGAGGTCGGGAGTTTGAGACCAGCCTGACCAACATGGAGAAACCTCGTCCCTACTAAAAATATAAAATTAGTCGGGTGTGGTGGTGCATGCCTGTAATCTCAGCTACTCAGGAGACTGAGGCAGAAGAATCGTTTGAACCCGGGGGGTGGAGGTTGCAGTGAACCGAGATCGCGCCACTGCACTCCAGCTTCGGCAGTAAGACGAAACTCCATCTCTCTCACACACACACACACGCGCGCGCGCGCGAATATGGAAGGGCTGTGGCTTCTATAAGCTCTGACCTTACCAAACAGTTTAAAGCTCCCTGTCATTCTGATTTACACACACACAAAACTGTCCTACAATATTGAATCACAGGAATGTCCAAATGATATACAGTAAAAATTAAATACAAGTTTGATTCCAGCAATCTAAGAATCTTGCAAACTTACAACTAGTTAAGTAAAAAATATCAACTTGGAGGATGGTGCATTCTGACAGGGCCTAGGATAAGGTGATGACTTTCAAAGAGCTAATTTGACTCCTCAGGACAGAAAATAAATGCCTTACAATGCATTAAACCAGTGGAAGAGCAAGTAATGTACAATTAAAATATGTGAGTTTAAGTTCCAGTTTCATCACATACGACCTGTGGAACCTTGGCTTCTCTAGGTCTTTGTTTGCTCTTCTGTGAAACAGGGATGACAATGCCTACCTGAAAGAGTTAATAACATGTGAGGTGGCTTGAGAAAGGACTGTAAACTGTTATTCTTTACACAGGGCTTCACATCCAACAAGAAATCTGTTTCCATTTCAAACTTAAATACATTGATGCCTTCGCTACATGGTATAATGAACATAGTTCCATATCAAAGATTTGCTTCACATTAAAGTATAAGAAATCTAAAAAGTTTTTTATGTACTAATTCTTTCACCAGAAAAATACATTGCACTTTACCTTAACAGGAAAAAAAAAAAACAAAAAGCAAAAAACACACACACACACAGAATGAAGAAAGAAAAAGGGAAAGTAAAAAGGTTCCAATAAGAGCCTCACCATCTGTTCATCCTCTTTGGCAGCCCAACTGGCACTGAACGTCTGACCTCCACTGCCTTTCATCAGGCGAATTTGAACATGCTGGAGATAGGCAGAGAATGCTAATCGGGCCTGCACTTTGCTATAGAAATCCAAAACAACATACCGTTATGAGACAGAAGGGTAAACCTACAAAATGTGTACTTGCTTTTCTCAAAGTGGCTTTGCGGATCCTTCTATTTTGATGGCTAAGAAATATGAAACCCATCTTACAGTCTGTGAATAATGATTCCTTCTAAACAGTATATGAGGGTTTAAAAAAAAAAAGGCCTATTAAAATAATCAGAGATGGAGAATCCCATTTTCTCATTATTAGCATGAGGAAAAAAAGAATAGAAAATTAGATTTCTTACTCAACACCTTCTCTTTGAAGATTTTTTTTTTTTTTTTTTTTTTTTGAGACAGAGTCTCATTCCATCACCCGGGCTGCAGTGCAGTGGTGCAATCTCGGCTCATTTCAACCTCCATCTCCTGGATTCAAGCAATTCTTGTGCTTCAGCCACCTGAGTAGCTGGAATTACAGGCGTGCACCACCACACTCAGCTAATTTTTGTATTTTTAATAGAGATGGGGTTTTACCATGTTGGCCAAGCTGGTCTCAAACTCCTGGCTTCAAGTGATCTGCCTGTCTTGGCCTCCCAAAGTGCTGGGATTACAGGCCTGAGCCACTGTGCCTGGCCCTCTTTGAACTTTTTAACAATTTTCTTGGGGTAACAGGAGAAGTACTGAATCGTCACAAGAACCACTGTATTAATGAGAAAACGCTTTTTACATCTGGAGGTCCTTAAGAACATATCAGTTAGTGCAAAAGTGTGGATTTTGCAATGGCAATTAATATTTCTAGTATAAAAAAGTATCCAAAGCAGGAAATAGATAAATCCCATAACAGGACTCTTTAGACCAAATTTAAGGCCACACTTTTCTCAACTACAAGATGGAATGGCTGGAGCCCAGAACAAATGCGTGAGATCCAACAGAGTTTGGCAGAGGTGAACTGATGGGCCAGGGAAGACAAGCCCAGATGTTCAGTGGGCAAAAGAAACCCTCAAGTCTAGTGAAAAGCACCTAAGCAACACCTAGCTATTTTCTGACTGGTGGCCTAGGCTGGAAACAAGGAAATCTGATCAAGCGATAGTTTGGAAGACAGAAGTACCAGAGAGACACTGATGATTTTCACCTCAGCTGCTATTCGTGGCAGATCTGTTTTCTTTCAGGCGAGATTTTGATTACTTCAGCTGATCGGCCTTCTGACACTGTAGCCAAAATTATATCAGTGAAGATTAGGGCCCAACACAAACTTTGTTTACAATCCTCACACATGCAATCACTGAATGCTTTCTACTGACTGTTTTCAAGGTTAGGATGTATGATTTGGCTAGAGTAAACTAGAAATCCTAAGAGGGCTCCAGCCTAGCTTCCATGTGTATGTTGGAGAACTGGAGGGCAAGGGAGTCAGGCTGGGGAGATTTCCTTTTGAGAACTTAATACATAGGAGTTTCAGAACATGAACTATAAATAAGGCTAGATTTTTGTTACTAGCAGGGATGGTTTATGGGAGCATAATATGGTTTTGAAATAATAAATTTATTTATTTATTTCAAGACAGAGTTTCACTCTTGTCACCCAGGTTGGAGTGCAGTGGCGCGATCTCGGTTCACTGCAACCTCTGCCTCTCAGGTTCAAGCGATTCTCCTGCCTCAGCCTCCCAAGTAGCTGAGATTAGAGGTGCTCACCACCATGCCCAGCTAATTTTTGTATTTTAGTAGAGATGGAGTTTCACCGTGTTGATAAGGCTGGTCTCAAATTCCTGACCTCAGGTGATCCACCCACCTCAGCCCTCCCAAAGTGCTGGGATTACAGGTGTGAGCCACTACACCTGGCCATAAATGTACATTTTCAACTGTTCCTCAAAGACAATAATTATATCCTTTTTCACCTAGAGAGCATATACCGCTTTCCCATGAACCAACCCTACAAGCTTTGCCCCCACAACAAATTATTTTCAAGTCAAAATAACTTTAAAAGATCCTCAGTTTGGGTCAACAAATTCACCTACAATAAAATGAACAAGAAATAGCATATTTCAGACACCTCCAAAGGTAGCAGAATAGCCAATTCCACTGATTGATCCTTTTATACTAAAACTTGAAGGTGTTTTAAATAAGGGGATTATTGCTCATAAATTGAGACTTCAATCATTGTTTTGCTGTGAATCACTGTTGCAAAGCAAATGAACAAGTACTGAGGTTTCCAATTCTATAAACCTCACCAATGTTAATTCTGAGACTGTCTCTAAGATATTGGACACGTTGTTCAACTAGTCACTTGCAACAAAACAAACCCCCCAAAAAGATTAAAGAATAAAAACCAGAATGATTTACACCAAGGAAACCTATTTTTAAAAACAGAAGGTTATGCAGATGCCCAGTATATAAAGTATACAACAATGAGGCCATGCTTAGTGTTTTGAACCCTGGCCGTCGCCCTTCCCCAAACCCCTGAGTAGCCTCTGAGACACTTCACCAAACAATGAGCAGCTTTAGGGAACACAGTCTGAAAACCACTGATTGACACTAATATACCCTGCAATTATAACAGTTTATTCATTCAAAGTGAGATCCACAAGATTCCTGAAGAAATAATTTATTTCTAAAACAACCAAGCAGAATGTTATTGCTGGAAAGGACTTTAGAATACAGTCCAGTGGTTTTCAAATGCTCTATTTTCAATTCAGTGAAATCTTTTTTCCCTCTAGGAAGCAGTTTGAAAAAACACTTGTCTAACTCTATACCTTGGATTGACAGAAAAAGGAAACTGAGGCCTAGAGAAGCTCTTTGACTTGCCTATGACTACATAGCCAGCTGGTAGCACTGAAACAGATAGAACCCAGGTTTTCTGACTCAGTTTGGTGTATTCTCCACTGACAGGCCTATTGTTCTTTTTTGTTGTTGTTGTTGAGATAGAGTCTCGCTCTGTTGCCCAGGCTGGAGTGCATGGCGCGATCTCGGCTCATTGCAACCTTCACATCCCGGGTTCAAGCAATTTTCCTGCCTCAGCCTCCCAAATAGCTGGGACTACAGGCACGTGCCACCATGCCCGGCTAATTTTTTGTGTTTTTAGTAGAGACAGGGTTTCACCGAGTTAGCCAGGCTGGTCTCAATCTCCTGACCTAGTGATCCGCCCGCCTCAATCTCCCAAAATGCTGGGATTACAGGTGTGAGCCACCACGACCAGCCAGAACTCTTCTTACTCCCCATGACACTGTTCCAAACTTAACTCTATCCCCTGGTACTCCAATGTTACCCTCCAAACTTTCAGTATAAGAATTTGCCTCTAATTTAGAACATAAAGGCTATCATGCATAAACGCCTAAACTTCCTTGCTCTTAAGCTTCTACCAACTGCATTCAACCCATTGCACTTTCTTTCTGACTTATAGGAAGAGATATCCCTCCTCTGGCTTTTGCCCACCTTCCTTTAGAACGCTTCTGTACGAATATATCCATTTCTGCAATTCTAATCCTCTTATTATCTAATCCTTCCCCTCAGTCTATAAATAAGCTCCAGAACCCCATCTCAAAAGAAAAAAAAAAAATCCCTTTCTTTTAGTTGGCTGTCTTCCTGATGCATTCTCACCTTCCTTTTACTGCCAAACCCTTAGAAAGTTAGTTCACACTTGCTTTCTTATTTTCTCAGCTCACAATTGCTCTTCCACCTACTCAGTTGGCCCTAGGTCACAAATCCAGAAGTCTCTGTTCATCATTCATCCTAACTTGGGCTGTTTGAGGCTCTATAGACCTGAATGCTCATTCTGCAGCTTTTTCCGTATTACTCTTTCCCGATTTTATGTCTATTGCTCTAACTGCCACTTCTTGATCTTTTTACTGACTTACCCATTGAATAGCGGTATTCCCCAGGGCTCAATTTCTTTTTTACCCTTGCTGAACCAAATAAATTTGAACAATCTTATCCATTCTGAAGACTTTATCTATCAACTATATAATCCTGTTCAACCTTGACCAACAAAGCTGTATTTTCACTTATCAACTGGACTTCAGCCAGAGCACTTCTTCCTCACTACGTCTTAAATGAAACACATTATTTTTGATCATGAAACCAACTCCTATGTTCCTTCTATTAACCAAAGGCACCACCAAGTTTCCAAATGTGAAAAGCTTAGTCTCATCAATTTTACTCTGCAAATTTCACTAAGTCCATCCCATTCTCTATTCCTAAAGCCATTACTCTGATCAAAGCTTTCACCTTCCTGGCTCTGGACAATTCTAACAGTCCCTAACTCACCCTGCTGCCTTCAGTTACACTATCCCACAATGCAAGCACAATCTGCATTCTAAAACAAGATCTCACAGTATCATTTATCTGCTTAAAAGTAACCTAGAAAATAAAGCCCAGACTCTTTGCAATCTAACAACATCCAATATTTTAGTCTCATTTCTTACCATGTTCTTCTCCCCATGTAGTTCTGCTAGTCTGTATTTTGTAAACACACCAAGCTCATTACAACGTCTGGGCCTTTGTACTTGCTGTTCTGCTGGGAGTATTCTGCCTCCTAATACTCACACGACTGACTACTCATCATCCAGTACTCACCTCAAAGGTTACCTCTTCATGCCAAATCATTGCAATCTAAGTTTAAACTCTCTGCCCAATTACATTCTAACATTACACTATCTAACTGACAGCATTTCTCATGGCCTGAAATGACCTTGTTTCTTTGTTTACTGTCAGTCTTCCCCACTAGACTGTAAGCTCCAGGCCTATCTTGGTCCCCATAGTAATGGGATATGGCCTAGCACAATTCCTGGCATAGTACAGGTACTCAATAAAAACTCACTGAGTGACTGAATAAATGGCTGTACTATCATACCTCTACGTCTTCACTGCCTCTACCTAGCACTCCCACACTTAACCATCACCTCCCAAACCTCCTGAAACCCTACTTATCAGTCAAGGCCTGATTCAAATTTTCCCTCCTCCATAATGCTTTTCTAGCCCTCCCAAGCCAGACCAATCACTCTTTTTCTGTGTCCTAAAACCACGTGTTTGTACTGGGACCATGGCCTAAACATTCTCTCTCTGATACTAAACCATGAGCTGCTTCAGCTCCTTGTCTCAGTTACCTTACACTCAGTGACTGACACAAATGCCCAACCAATGAGACCCGGGTTTGTATCATAGTTTTACCTTGGACAAGTTACCTAACCTCTCTAAGGCTCAGTTTTCTTAACAATAGCAATGTCTAATCACAGTCATTATTTCACAGGACTCCTGTAAATATTAAATGCAAAATGACTGTAAAGCCACTAAAATAGTACCTGGTACATAGTACATGTTAGCCGTTACCAGTTTTACTAATATAAAAGATACATACCTAAGATTACCATTATCTTGAAGAATCCGCATCAGGTTAAATTTAGGCTCTGGCTCCTGAGCCTCAATTTTGCAGCACTGTTCACCTTTATTATTCCATTCAGGAGCTTTCACGGAATTTTCTTTGGGTGCATTTTCTACCATAGCTGTTAATGAGGGTGTATATTTGGCTGGATTTTCTCTAAGAGACCCTGCAGACTCCTCCTGGGAAGCTTCTTGTTCTTCATCTTCATTAACTAACGCGACTTCTTCCTCCTCTTCACTCTCTGTCTCAGTTTTAACATTCATTTCAGCTGGTTGGGTAATCACTAAATGCGAAGAATCACTAATGTTGCTGAAAAAAGGATTAAATTTTCCTCTCTCCCAATACCTTCCTTTTCTCTTTTTAGTAAAAACCCATTTCTAAACCAAACCACAAACAAGGCACAGAATTATTAGCAACCACGTCATTCTCTATTCTTATATATTCTTTTATTGATTTTTATTTATTATCATTTTTTGAGACAGGGTCTCACTCTGTTGCCCAGGCTGGAGTGCAGTGGCAGGATCCCAGCTCACTATAGCTCAACTTCCTGGGCTCAAGTAATCTTCCCACCTTAGCCTTCCAAGTAGCTGGGACTATAGGCACATGCTACATACCCAGCTAATTTTTGTATTTTTTGTAGAGACAGGATTTTGCGAGATTGCCTAGGCTGGTCTAACTCCTGGGCTCAAGTAATCCGCCCACCTCAGCCTCCTAAAGTGCTGGGGTTACAGGCATGAGCCACCATGCCTGGTCTAATCTTACATATTCTAAAACCTATTAATGATCTTCAGTAAATTTGATATTTTTCATCATACTCTTATCATGGCTCTCTCACAGCTTAAGGCAAAAAAAAAAAAAAAAAAATCAAAACACAAAAAACCCTTGGGTTAGTGTTTTCTACAGTGTGTTAGAGATTTTTTTAAAAAGCACCCTTCATGGAGGTATAAAGAACAGGGGAATATCTTTCTATCTTATGTTCATCAGTTATCCTTCTCTACTGCCTTATAAGTTCTATGAGGACAGAGACTGTATCTTTTTTATTTACCAGCGAAACCTCAGTGACTAACATGCTGCCTGATACAGATGTTCAACAAAGGAGGGAAGGAGAGAAAAAAAGGAAATCAGTATATCAGTCAATTACAAATAGACCTACAACATTGTAGAAGCTGGGAGAGAAAGAAATTCCACTTTGTCTAAAATACTTATGCCATTCAGCAATGTTAAAGAATGAACTGAACTTCCCTAATTACAAAAAACCTGAACAGTAATGCTCAGGATTCCATTAAACTCAGGCTAATACTATTTCTAAAGAATCAGGTATTTGCACAATGCTGACATAAGAGCAAAGGCCAAAATGTATGTGCCCCAGATAGTCTTCAATACAAATATTATGGAGTGGAAGGTTTAAAAACGTAGGACCTTGTTGAAATTAAATTTCAGAGAAAAACAACTATACAAACAAACAAAAAAAAAAAGTGTATTTGACCAGGAAGATTCTGACTCATGAAATATTGAGTAAGCGACTGGTTAACTCAGTCTGGCAGGATCCAGATAAGGGAGTTTGGTGAAAGCTCACCAGCAGGTACCTGGGTATTTTGGCCTCATTGCCCTCAATCTGCTACTCCGTCGTCTACATTTTCGCACCTCCAGAGACAGGAGCTTCCTCTCGTAAAGTGCGGCATGCAGCTTGGCCTTTGAATTCGTGCCATCTATCTTCAATTCTGGTGTTCCATCAGCAGTCGTTCTAGCGGAAAAACAACATGGTAGCTATGGCCTTCAGAAAGTTCTCTCCTTCACTCCAAGGCTAAGCTTGCCAGAATTCCATAATGCTGACACACTGGACATGGTAACTCAAGTGAATTCTAAGTTTGACAGATAAAAAGGAACACTAGAATTTACATTAAAACCTCACTAGTCACCCATTTGAATGTATTAAATGTTCTGGAAAAAAATATGTAGCTAAAGACAATGTTGAAGACCTTTAAGTATTCAGTAATACTGATTATTAGTTTACTGTAGGGATTATAAAGTGCCACCCAACACCTTACATCTTAAAATACTTTATAACTTAAAAATGACAACATCTTAATTCTTAAGCTGAGTGGTGGCAAATGATGTTTGCTTTATTTCTATCCATTATAACTTACTCATACATTCAAATATTCTTTTGAATGTATATAAAATCTAAACAATATAGATTTAGCAGAGGATGAGATGAGGGGAAGAAAGGCTGATGATCTGTGAATATGCGAGGCAGCACCGAGTTGACGGAGACTCATAGAAGTGTCATAGTGAAAAGTCACCAAGCCCTAGGGACTCACCAAGCCTCAAGCATCCCAACATGAGGAAATGTCAAGGCACCCACCCTCTTTAAGATCCTAATTAGCTAAAGGGGAAGGTGGAGTGAGGTGGCAGGGACTTCACAGGCGTTAAGTACAGGTCAAGAGTTAGAGAAACAGAAAAGGGAAGGCAGCAGAGGTAGGACAAGGCCAAATACATCAGGTCATGAACGAGAAATGGGACGTGGAAATGGGGCTGGCAGCAACTACATTAGGCATTAAAGTAAGACAAATCACAAATTGGGGAGTGACTGATATGAGGTCCAGTCCAGACAAGGACTGAGTGAAATACAGGACAGGCAGCCATAACCAAGCCACCAGAGAAAGAGAGGGCTCTGGGTCACCAGGTCAGAAAAGCAGAATCTGTATCAGTGTCTGAAAGTATGTAGCCAACTCTCTACGCTCAAACGCAAAATCTAACTGGTTGGCTCTGAACTCTCTAGAACTCAAAGTGTGTTCCTTTTGAGGTCAAGGAATCATACTAACTCCTCTGGGAGTTTTCATTCTCTGAGTATAATGAAAAGGCTGTGTCATTTGGTCTATTTAGGACCTTTTTGATAGGGATTTCTGGGTGGATGGAATGGATAGTAAGCCTTTTGGAGGCCTTCTCTCCAGAGCAAGACATAGAGCCAAAAACAGGAAGGTCCTGGCACTGGGAGCAGAAGTGGGAAGCAAATCAATGAACTTTAAAAAAAGTTCAAATGTATTTTATCAGAGTCCCAAAAGTAACACACACACACACACACACACGCATGCACACACAGAGAGAGAGAGAGAGAGAGAGAGAGAGCACGCACAAGTGCTGTAAAAATAAATTTTTAGCCAATTCAATAATAAAGAAAATCAAACAAATCTGATAGAAAAATAAAATCATTTAAACAATTTATTTAATAAGGTCTGGCTAACTTGGTCAAATTTATTTATTTATTATTTTTTAACCTGGTCAAATCTGGTAACTGTATGAACAAATATGGGCATATTTTAACACTGACATCTTTATCTCATAAACGCACAAACATTACTCTCTCCAAAGACATGTCTCTTAAAAACTTAATGTGATTGGAGACAGTGTAAAGTTTGAGGTCGTCCTAATTTAATGAGTGGAAGTTAATTCGACACCCTAGTAAATTAAAGCCCAGTGTTTACATTCATGAACCACTGTTCATTATATAAACAAGAATTTATATTGTCTACATGATACTATCTACATTTTCAAGAACTCCATTCTTTAGGGAAAAAAGATTTCTTTTTATCAACAAAAACTCAAAAAATAAACTTTTGAAAACATGAATGCTAAAAGCTCAGAGACATGGAGAAGCTACCACAAATCTCCTTCTCTAAAGATATTTTAAAATCACAACTATGAACTAAGAGACTCTGGATAAACAGATAAATCCTAACTAGTACAAGGGACGGAGGAAAGGGGATGCTGGGTAAAGTGTGAATCTGATAAGCAAGACTAATAGTTCTATGAGGGCAAGGACCATGTTTGTCTTGTATTACGGTATCCTAGATGCTTATGAGACTGCCCAGCACACAGCTGACTTGCCATAAATATTGGTTAATTAATAAACAACTGAATTTCCTAAAAAGAAGTTGAGTATCTTTTAGCTACATCTATTTCATTTTACTTTTTCCAACATTTTATTTGAAAATATTTTTTAAAAAGTTTAAAGATTATTCAGTGGACAACCATATGCCTACTCCCATCTAGTTTCTACAATTAACATTGTATTATATTTTGTTTCATCACGTGTATATGCAATCATACATTCCTCTATCCATCCATCAATCTAATTTTCAAAGCAATTCAAAGTTACAGACATCAGTGCATTTAGCTCCTAAACATTTCAACATGCATATCATTACTATCTAGAATTCAATATTTGTTTTATAGAACTGTGTTTGGTAAGCTGAAAGTTATATACAGTGAAATATCCAAATATTAAATATCCACTTAACGAGTTCTGACAAATGCCTAGAGCTATATAACCCAAACTCTTAACATTGCTATCACCTCACAAGTTCTCATGCCCCTTCCCGGTCAATCTTCCCTAACCCCCTAAGGGCAATCACTGTTCTGAATTTTTTCACCGTGTATTAGATTTGCCTGTTATAGAATTTCATAAAAATGGAACCATACAGTATGAACTGTTTTGTGTAAGGCGTCCTTCATTCAGCATGTTTTTGAGATTCACTCGTGTGTATCAGTATTCATCCCACTTTATTTCTGAGCAGTAGGTCACTGTCTGAATGATCCATAGCTATCTGCTCTCTTGTTGGACACCTAGGTTGTTTCCCATTACGTAGTATTAGGAATAAAGCTGCTATGAACATATTTGTACAAGTCGTTTTGTGATTATGTTTTTTATTTCTTCTGTGTAGATCTCAAAGTGAAATTTGTGTATTTCTAACAAAATGCCAGCCTCTTCCTAAAATGCTTGTACCAGTTTACGCTGTCAATGACAATTTATCACAGTTCTGTTAGTTCCACATCCTTACTGACATTTAGTATTGTCAGTCTAATATTAGCCATTCTGCTAGATGTTTAGTGGTATAACATGGTTTTAATTTGTAATTCCCCAATAACTAATGTTGTTAAGTACATTTTCATGAGCATATTGGCTACTCATACATCTTCCTTTTGAAGTGTCTGTTCAAATATTTTACCCTTTTGTAACTGGGTGAATGGTCTTTTTTATTATTGAGTTGTAGAAGTTCTTTACGGTTCCTAGACATGAATCCTGTGACAGATTATGTTTGATGCATATTTCCACTCAGTCAGCTGCTTGCCAAATCATTTTCCTAACAGTATTTTATAATAAAGATTTTAATCTTGAGAAATTATAACATTGTTTTTTATTGCTTTCTGTGTCATGTCTAAAAACATTGCCAAGCCCAAAGTCACAAAGATACTATGTTTTCTTCAATAAGTTTTATAGCAACAGTTTTTATATCTATGAATCATCTCTAATTTCTATGGGAAACAGGGGTTGGGGTTCATTTTAAAAAATACAATATTCAGTTGTTCCATCCCCATTTAAAAAAAATAATTTCCTTTCACTGTTGTATTACTTTGACCATATAAATGTGGGTCTATTTCTGGGTTCTCTATTCTGTTTCAATGTGATCAATTTGCTAAGATCTTGAATATTATAGAATTACAGTATTTAGGTCAAGTACTCTAAGTCTTTTTCAAGATTACTTTGGATATTCTAAGTCCTTTGCATTTGAATATAAATTTTTAAATGTTGGTCCATTTCTTTAAAAAAAAAAAAAAAAATCCACCAGAATAATGATTGAGATTACACTGGATCTTTACATTGATTTGAGTAAAATGGCTATTTTAACTATATTAAGTCTTCTAATCCACAAGTGAGGCATATCTCCCCATTAATTTAGGTCTTCTTTAATCTCTTTTAGTAATATTTAATAGCTTTTACAGTGTAGGTATTGAACATGTTTTGTTAAATTTATTCCTAAGTATTTTATATTTTCAAATGCCATTATAAATATAATTTAAAATTTCATTTTCCAATTATTTACTAGTAGTACATTACGATACAACAGATTTTAGTATGTTGATCTTGTATCCTAAAACCTTGACACTTCTATGTTCTTGTAGTTAGAGATGCCTTAGGATTTTCTACTTACCTGATCATGTCATCCAAATATAGACATTTTACTTCCTCCTTTCCAATCTGTGTGCATTTCTTTTTTCCCTGCCTTTCTTTATTATACTCATGTACAATGTGAATAAAAGTGGTGTGAGTGGGCATCTTGACCTATTACAAATTATAGGGGAAAAGCCTTCAATATTTTACTGAATATGATTATAGCAACAGGTTTTTCATATAAGGCCTTTATCAAGTTGAAGAAGTTCTCTTCTATTACTGATTTGCTGAGAGTTTTTCTCATAAGTATGTACTGAATTTCATCAGTTGCTCTTTTGGGATATCTAATGAAATAAAGATGTTCTTAAAACATCTAGGTTTTCCCCTGTAATTAATATGGTGAATTTCATTGACTAATTTTCAAATGTTAAGCCAATCTTGAAATACTGGGGAAAATCTCAGTCATACGTATTATCCTTTTTATATACTGGCAGATTAATGTGCTAATATTAAGAAATTTTATGTCTATGTTCATGAAGGATATTAGCTGGTAATTCTCTCTTTTTCTTCTTCTATTTTAATATCTTTGTCAGGTTTTGGAATCACAGTCATACTGGCATCATAAGATGAACTGGGAAGTGTCCCTTCCTGTATTCTTAAAAGAATCTGTGTAAGATTGGTGTTATTCTTCCTCAAATGCTTGACAGAATTCAGTAGTAAAATTGGCGAGCTGAGTTTTCTCTATAGAAGTTTTTCATTACAAATTCAATTTTCTCCACAAATGCAGGGCTTTTCAAAACTTCTACTTCAGCTGGTGTCACCTTGGGTGTTCTCCTCCACATTTTCCCAGCCACAAAGAATTGTCATTTCATCTAAGTTGTCAAAGTAATGGAATAAAGTTGCTAATAATATTCCCCTAATATCTTTTTTCCCTACCTTAGTATCCATCTTATGTCTACAGAATCTATAATGATATCCTTTCTTTTCTATCTGATGATATTGGTAATTAGTGTTCTTTCTCTTTATTCTAGATCAGTCTACCTAAGGGTTCATCAATCATGCTACCTTATCAATGAACACACTTTGGATTTTGTTAATATTATTTATTGTTTGTCTTTTATTTGATTTCTGCTTTTCCTTTCTTCTACTTACTTTGAAGTTACTCCGCTTTTTTCAATTTCATAAAATGAACATTAGATCAGTCCTCAGTTTTTTTTTGTTTTTGTTTTTTTGTTTTTTGAGACAGAGTTTCGCTCTTGTTAACCAGGCTGGAGTGCAATGGCACAATCTCGGCTCACCACAACCTCCGCCTCCTGGGTTCAGGCAATTCTCCTGCCTCAGCCTCCTGAGTAGCTGGGATTACAGGCACGCGCCACCATGCCCAGCTAATCTTTTGTATTTTTAGTAGAGACGAGGTTTCACCATGTTGACCAGGATGGTGTCGATCTCTTGACCTCGTGATCCACCCGCCTCGGCCTCCCAAAGTGCTGGGATTACAGGCGTGAGCCACCACGCCCGGCTGTCCTCAGTTTTTTAAGGTAAGCATTTAAACTTATAATTTCTCCCAAAGCACTACTTTAGCTGTGGCACACACATCTTGACATATTTTTACTATTACTCAGTTCAAATTTTTCCTCATGACTTCTTCTTTGACCCGTGGATTATTTAGAAATGTTGTTTAATTCCCAAATATTTGAAGATTTTCTATTGTCACTGATATTCAATTCTCTTGTGGCCAAAGAATACTCTGTATCATTTTAATCCTTTTAAATATATTAGAACTTGTTTCATGCTCCAGCATATGGTCTATCATATGCCAGCTTTCATTTGCTTACACCTCTACACAGCCCCAAATCCCTATTGACGACAATATAAAATGAGTGCCAAAAAATGAAGAAAGAGGCTGGGCGCAGTGGCTCACACCTGTAATCCCAGCACTTTGGGAGGCCAAGGCGGGCAGATCACAAGGTCAGGAGTTTGAGACCAGCCTGGTCAACACGGTGAAAACCTGTCTCTGCTAAAAATATAAAAATTAGCTGGGTGTGGTGGCAGGTGCCTGTAGTCCCAGCTACTCCGGAGGCTGAGGCGGGAGAATCACCTGAACCTGGGAGGCGGAGGTTGCAGTGAGCTAAAATCACGCCACTGCACTCTAGCCTGGGTGACAGATCAAGACTCCATCTCAAAAAAAAAAAAAAAAAGAAGAAGAAGAAAGAACAAAACTCAGTAAGCTTCATATATTCTTCATGTTTAAGATTTTTTCTTTTTTCTCAATTTCCAAATTAATAGTAGTATGTTACAGAAAGATTATTTCTTGACTCAAAACTGGAGAAAACACACTTGGTATATACCAAGTGTGACTTTCTATTTGGAAACAAGCTACAAACTTGATTTACTTCAGTTTTTCCTTAACTAAATGGCAATCATACTGTATTCCTTCTTTAAAGAAAAATTAGACTCATGCTTTAAAGGGCTCTCTGCCTGAATGAAAGGCCGCAGGCGTTTTGTATGCTTTCAGTTCTGTGGCAAACTAGAAACAGGTTCTGTTCTGTCCCATGAGGCACAGAGTGTGTGCTTCAGGTATGTCAAAGCCAAAACACCAACTCTTACCTGAATCTAACATGACATTAGTTACAAAATCACAATAACACTATCAGACAAAAGAATATACCTGTAGTTATAACAAAGTAAATCTCAAACTTACGTTTGTAAAAAGCGGCCACAAAATACTTTTTCAATAGAAAAAATGTTACTATTCAAGCTGAACCAAATTAAAAATGGTTATATAAAGTTATTATGCTTAGTCTGTGCACAGTCACATATTTTGCACATGGGAAGGATTTCTCAACTTTTAAAAGTGAATTACCGTGTTCTTCCTGTCAATAAGCTTCTTCTTGGGTTTCCCCTACAGAAGCAGAAAGGACAACTGGGTTAGAGAATGCTATTCAGATAATCTCTCTTGAGTTGACACACACATGCACTCCTGAAATTCTTAATACAGAAATTCAACATGAAATTAGGCCAAGGAGGACATCTTTGGGGAAAGCACACAGATAAATTAAGAACATTCTCCAAGAAGAATGCTGTGAGCTGGAGGGACATTCAATAAAAAACAAAAGAGAAAGGACAAATTATGGAGAAAAGTTACAAAAATTATTCATAGTTATTTATCTATTTACAAAGCAAACTGCTTATTCCTAGCAACAACCATGTAAGGAAGGTTGTTATTAGCTCCATGTATATGAAGGAGCAGGATAAGGTAATTTTTTGGCCTGCCATAGCCAGAGCTTAAAGAGTTTACATCTGAGCTCAGGGCTTTGGTCTCAAACTGCAGTGCTCTTTCCACTTTCATTGAACTGTTTTAGGAAAAGAAACCATGCTCAATTCTCATGGGGTTCAAAAGAGTTGCTCACCAGAAACAGGTTTTCCACAGCTTAAAAAAATCTCTATTAAAAGGCCAGGTGTGGTGGCTCAGCCTGTAATCCTAGCCGAGGATTAGGGAGGCTGAGCCAGGCAGATTGCCTGAGCTCAGGAGTTCGAGACCAGCCTAGGCAACACGGTGAAACTCCGTCTCTACTAAAAATACAAAAAGTAGTCAGGCAAGTCGGTGTGCGCCTATAATCCCAGCTACTCAGGAGGCTGAGGCAGGAGAATTGTTTGAACCCAGGAGGCTGACAGCACACTGAGCCAAGATCATACCACACACTCCAGCCTGGGTGACAGAGTGAGACTCCATCTCAAAACAAACAAAAACTCTATTAAAAAAAGATACTCTCCATTTTCTCTAAACTAGGGCTAGGCTCTCACCACAGAAATCAAGTGCAATTCATGTTAAAATAGGCTTTTGTTTTTCTTTTGAAACTCTTTCATTTAATTTCCTTTAACACTCTTAAAAAATTTCCAGCAGTGGCTCACGCCTGTAATCCCAGCCTGTAATCCCACTTTAGGAGGCCAAGGTGGGTGGATTACTTGAGGCCAAGAGTTCAAGACCAGCCTGGCCAACATAGTGAAACCCTGTCTCTACTAAAAAATACAAAAATTAGCTGGACATGGTGGCATTAGCCCGTAATTCTAGCTGCTCAGAAAGCTGAGGCAGGAGAAACACTTGAACCCAGTGAGCCAAGATCATGCCACTGCACTTCAGCCTGGGCAACAGAGTGAGACACTGTCTCAAAAAAAAAAAAAAAAAAAAAGTCCGCAGTTCTACTTGTACTCATTTATGTATGTGTGTATTTAATTCAGTACTTTTATTGCCTGTGTAGGTTCATATACCCACCACAGAAAAGATACTCAATGATTATTATCACCATGAAGATTCCCCCATGTTGCCCTTTTATACTCAATGATTATTATCACCATGAAGATTCCCCCATGTTGCCCT